GCAGCAGCAAAGTTGTGTTGTGCCTGCCTGAGGTTCTGCTGCGACTTGAGCTTGTTGAGCATGACACTGAGTGTCACATGCGCTTTGTATGCCTCTATGGAGCAGTCCCTTAAGCTCTCCCAAATGACAATGGCGCGTTCCAATGCCTGCATCATTTCATCCCGTCGGTCATGGGGCCATGCGTACACTTCACTCGGGGGTGAACGCCCAGACGCTCGGCTTCATCTGTGTGATGCAGGTCCAAGGCTTGCTACCTGTTTACTCCCTAGAGCAGTGGTTTTTATAGTTATCTTTACCCTTGGCCAGCGTGATAGCAGATTAATTATCGACATGGATCGTGGTCAGATACTTTAACCCATGGATACTCTCATAGAGTTGTAGCTGCCACAGTAGGGATTTGGTCTACTAGAGTTGTCTGCATGTCTCTGAGAGAGTGATGTACTCTGCTTCAGTGGATGAGTGCGTAATCGCCTTCTGCTGGTTTGATTGCCATCTGATCGGTTCCGAGCCAAGCTTGACGAGCATTTCTGACGCGGATTTGTCCTGGTGTGACGCATACCATGGTCAGTGTCGCTTGCGACGCACCGCAGAACGGTGTTCGCGGTTGCGACGTGCTCCTTGCTTAGGTTGGACAGGAACCTAGTCAGATGGTTGATTCTGGGCTGGAGAGTACTGCAAGTCTTCCTTCACATAGTCTCGTTGTATTCGTGATAGTCGACGTTACTTGCCTTCTTGAATTACTACCAGTGGCCGTATGGGCGGCTGCTTGGCTGGTGTGCATTCCTCGAGATAGTGACGCTTGAGCAGTGCTCGGGTATATTGGCCTTAAATCCAGCTGCAGTTGGTTCTTCTGCTCTGTGATTCTTACTTCCGGGGATCGGCCCGATCGCGTATCTTTGGTCCGATCGCGCAACTTTGATCTTACTCGCTTTGTGCAGGGCAGTTGCAAGTATAGCGCTGGGCGCGGTTTTTAGTAGCGCGTCGAGCCCGTTGCTGCTTGACATGTCTTTTGGCTCCTTGAACGGTTCCGGTCGAGCTGCCTGCAATTGCGCTGCGATTATGTAGTCGACGGTTACGCGGTCGGCGGTTTGATTGCTTTGGTAGCCTTGCCTAGGTGTATGAGCCTGTGTGCTGAGCCTTGAGTCTGCCGCGCTTTAGGTGAGTATACGCTTCGGATTCGGGAGAATGAGGCCGTGTTGTCCCGGCTATCTGCAATGCTGGGTGCTAGCCAGTGAGAGTATAATCCATCCAATCCATGACCTAATCCCTCCTCGTGAGGTGGCTCCCCATGACGCTCGAGTGTGGGAGAAGCGGCATGAGTTCTTGCTTGAGGGGTGATTGGTGAGATTGGTGGACGCTCTGGTGTGCTCGCCTGCCCATGACCGTCCTGTTGTTGGTATAGGTATGTGGCAAGGCGGTTCCACCGTGCTGGCATCGTATGTGCGATGCGCTTGTGGACGCTCCGGCCTACCTGACTGCTTGCCCATGACTGGCCTCTACCGGTGCTTGGTACAGCCAGCGATGGTATGGGCATAACTATGGCGAGGCGGTTCCGCCGTGCGGGCATCGGGTCGCGATGCGCTTGATGACGCTCCGGCGTACCTACCTACTCATGCCTGGCCTCACCGGTGTGCTTGGCACAACGGGTGATGGTATGGGCATGTAGTAGCAAGGTAGTTCCGCCGTGTGGGCATCGGATGTGCGATGCGCTTGTGAATGCTCCTCAGAGCTCGTCTACGACGGGTATTGAGCGGCCTGCGGTAGCGCGGTCGGCGATTGCGCGGTCTGCGGTTGCGAAGTCTGCGGTTGCGAGTTAACGGCGCTCTGCGAGTTGACGGCGCTTTGCAAGTCGAACGTGCTCTGCGAGTTGACGGCGCTCTGTGAGTTGACGGCGCGAGTTGACGGTGCTCTGCAAGTTGACGGCGTTCTGCGAGTTACGCGGGTATAAGTTAGCGAGTTAACGGCGCGAGTTGACGGTGCTCTGCGAGTTGACGGTGCTCTGCGAGTTGACAGCGCTCTGCGAGTTGACGGCGGTGTCGACTTGCTTGACTTGCTCGATCCAGCGAGGTAGTTACCTGCACGAAATCGCGGGTGCGGACTCTTGCTAGTGGGCATGACGAGGTCGTCTGCGTGCTCAAATCAATCTCGAAGCTGCTAACGCCCGCATCCGTCGAGGCGTGGCACTGCTGTAGTATCGGGCCGCATGTCTGCACCGCGAGCCCCGCCCACAAAATTTGCAGACTTGACATCTCAACACCATAGTTGGATCACTCGTGCTTGCTTCTCTAACTTACTGTACAATACCCCTCATTTTTCCCCTTCATAGACTACGATAGCAAAACAACTTCCATCAATCAACCCACTAACAATCTGGCCCCCGATTAACCTAAGATAGTGTGCCTTACATCCGCAATAGAAGCGCGTTAGACACGTTATGATATGATATAGTGTGGCGGAAGGCTAGCTTTGGTGGGGGGACACCCTGCGTGGGCGGCCATAGGGCCTCGCTACTCCGCCTATCCTACATAGCGAGCCCCGCCGACAGTATTTGCTAATATTAACTTTATATATTCTGATAGCAGAATTATTTTCATCAATCAAGGACCAAGAAATTGGCCAATCAGCGGACCAAGAAATTGGTTCCGCTCAGTTACCAAGAAGCGTGGAATAAAACCCACGCCCTGCTGGCGCAATGGTAGCGCGTTGGACTTCTAAAATCGAGATGACGGAAACGTTTATGCTCCTTCATTCTATGAAATCCAAAGGTTGCGGGTTCGAGTCCCGCGTGGGGTGTTATCTTTTGTTAAATCATGCAGTGGATACTCTCTCTCCATTTACTCCTTTTTTTTTTTTATATATCACCGGGACTTAATCACTAGATCGTCTGGTTTTGACATGGGACCACCCGGGGTTATTATGTAACTTTTTTTTCTCGAACCCACAACCTTTGGATTTCATAGAATGAAGGAGCATAAACGTTTCCGTCATCTCGATTTTAGAAGTCCAACGCGCTACCATTGCGCCAGCAGGGCGGCGCCCTGCGGGCGGGCCGTGGCTCCGCCACGGCTGGCCTGGGCTTACGATGACAGGACGATGTCAAGCATCACGAAACTACAGGAGGCATTTCTTTCTTTTTGCCGGCCTCGCTCCATACACTGAAGTATTTCTTCTCGCCCTGTCAACGAAATCAACTAATAAATCCCTGACCTGCCGGCTAGTAACTACGGCTGCGTTATTCGACTGCGTAGACCGCCTCTGGGATCCTGATAGTAGGCGGACTTCTCTACGCGAAAATCTCAAGGACTCTCGTCAAGATCATTTTATGTTCGGCTCTATGGGGAGTCACTTTGTCTTCCTGATACGATAAGATGTATTATTTATGTCGTCCGACCTCTAATCTACCTGCTCCACGGGCGTACTTCAACCTCTTAGGTATCTGTTGTTAGGGTGCACTTAACGTCCTGAATACATAAGCCATATTTACTTACCTCCTTCGACACATAGGCTACCTGCTATGCAGACTTAGTTCGACCTCCTGATAACGTACGACAGATTTACTTACATCTTCCGATATTCCAGCTATTTACTATGCTGGATTACTTCGACCTTTTAGTAACCTGCTGTATGGACGGCCTTTAACCTCTTAGCAATCTACTATGCGGGCTTACTTCGACATCCTAGTAACAAAAGATAGATTACTTAAGGCTTCCGACCTTTTAGCTACCTGCTATACGGGCGTAGTTCGACCTCTTAGTAATCTATTATTCGGCCGTACTTCAATCTTTACCACCTGTAGTGCAGAGTTACTCCGACCTCCTAATAACATAGGATACATCACTTATGGCTTCCGACCCCTTAACTATCTAGTGTTTGGGCGTACTTCGACCTCTTTATAGACTGTAGTGCCGAGTTACTTCGACTTCCTGCAAACATAGGAGAGATC